TCCCCAAACTGTCTTATCGAGGTCGTACGCTCATAATCAACAATCTGGTGGGATCCTCGTTATGGCATAGACTTGCCTGTGTCGATCCGCCTCTGGGACTGTTACCAAAACTTCAAGAAGAAATGGTCAATTTCTTCTGGGATAATCTACACTGGACGCCTCAAAGTGTTCTTTTCCTGCCAAGGGATGAAGGAGGTCAAGGCTTGGTGAATCTGGTCAGCAGAGGAGCGACTTTTAGGCTGCAGTTCATTCAGCGTTTGCTGATGGGTCCCCAGAATCTAGTGTGGAGACCATTAGCACAGACTATTTTATCTGGAGTGAACGGAATGGGACTTTATGCTGTACTGTTTTTAATGGACTATAATCTCCTGGATTTGTCTAGAATACCTTCATTTTATAGAAGTCTTTTTAAAGTTTGGAGACTTTTTAAGCATGAATGGGCGGATTCAGCCACATCTCTTTTCTGGTTGCTTGAGGAACCTGTTGTGTTTGGAAGTCGCCTTGATGTGTCAGTAGTTGACCTTCCAGGACTAAAAGACTTGCTTGTGTCAAAGAAACTGTTGCAATTGAAAGATATTGTTAAAAAAGCAGGACCTGGACTAAAAAATGCAGAAACTGTTGCTACACATTTGGGAATAAGATCAGTGAGATTTGTTAGAAGTTTTCTGAACAAACTGGATGGGGTTTTAAACTCCAAGGAAAAAGCTCTACTTGAGAGTTACAGTATGGGTAAGATTGTCCCTGATGATAATGACCTATTCCCAGATATCAGAAGTATGCCTGATCTTGAGGAATGCTCACATAATAGTCCTCTGTTGTGTTTGAATGCAAATGAAAATGTTGATTTTTGTACAGTTAAAGGAAAGATCTTATATAAATGTATTGTGAAGGTAATAAATAAACATACATTAAAAGGTAGAATGGACACAGTATGGAGAGATAAGTTTGGAGTGGTAGAGGAATTAAAACCAGAGTGGAGAGTACTATAAACCACCATTGACTAAAAGAGCAGGCGATCTCCAGTGGAGAATACTGCATGGTGCAATCGCTGTAAATGCCTTTGTGGCGAAATTGAATCCCACTGTAAATGATAATTGTCCTTTCTGTTTAGAAAAAGAAACAATATTCCATTGTTTTATGAACTGTCACAGACTTTCTCCACTTTTTGACTTTCTGGAATTTTTATTCTCTTTATTAGGTATTTCTTTTACAAAGCAATGTTTTATATTTGGCTTCAAGTATAGTAGATTACAGAAGTACAAGTGTCAATTGATTAACTTTATTGTTGGCCAAGCCAAATTAGTAATTTATATTTCCAGAAGGAATGAAATAGAACAGAGAAATGGGAAACATATTGTATCAGTTTTTAAGAATATGTTTAAATCAAAAATTCTTGTTGATTTTAATTATTACAAGATGATTAATGCAATCAACGTTTTTGAGATTGAATGGTGTTGGCACCATACTTGGCAATGAGTTGTTTTTTATATGTAAAGTCATGTAGTGTTGTTGGTTTTTGATTGTTGTTGTGTTTTCTTTTGTTAAATAACAAATAACTGTTGTTGAATAAAGCGTTTTAAAACTCAACTCTTAAAGTTAATGTAAGTTAATGTAATTTTACCACAGGACTTCTGTAATATCAAAATCGCATGTGGTAAGATATAGACCATTTCACAAGATGTAAACAACACTGGTCCAGAAGCACTTCCTGTTTCAGTCTGTAACTGTTTTCTTTATTTCACATGTAAAGAAAACATCTTAAAGATGTTTAACTTTTTGATTCAGTTTTAAATGTTCTGTTGGTTGTATTTTATCCCAGCTTTTTTTGTAGTGTTAAAAAACTGAAACAGGAAGTGCTTCTGGACCAGTGTTGTTTACATCTTGTGAAATGGTCTATAGGTTATCAATAAAACTAGAAGTTGGAGAGGTAACTCAATTTGCGCATCGCTGTCATGCGTGTATATTATATATATACATGTGTATATAGCCTATAACTCCTGAGAAAACAAGAGGTTAGTTCTCAATCACTAATGTTTGGGGTTGTCAAGAAATGATTTAAAGTCTTATGTAAGTCTAGCCAGCAGCCATATCACCCTGTAGCCCAAGACTTGTTGCCCACTGAAGCTATGCAGGGCTGAGCTTGGTTAGTACCTGGATGGGAGACCTTCTGAGAAAGCCAGGTTGCTGCTGGAAGAGGTGTTAGTGAGGCCAGCGCTCACCCTGTGGTCTGTGTGGGTCCTAATGCCCCAGTATAGTAATGGGGATACTATACTGTCAAAAAAGCACCGTCCTTCGGATGAGACGTTAAACCCAGGTCCTGACTCTCTGTGGTCATTAAAAATCCCAGGATGTCTTTCGAAAGAGTAGGGGTGTAACCCCGGCATCCTGGCCAAATTTGCCCAGTAGCCTCTGTCCATCATGGCCTCCTAATCATCCCCATATATAGCCCATAATTTGCTTCATCACTGTCTCCTCTCCACCAGTAAGCTGGTGTGTGGTGAGCGTTCTGGCGCACTATGGCTGCCGTCGCATCATCCAGGTGGATGCTGCACACTGGTGGTGGTTGAGGAGATTCCCCTCTCTATGTAAAGCGCTTTGAGTGCTGAGAAAAGCGCTATATAAATGTAATGAATTATTATTATTATTATTATGACCAAAAAAACGTAAAAACAGTAATATTATGAAATTTCTGTATAATTTAAACTGTTACATTTTGAAGTTGTTTTTTATTTTTTTTGGCAAAGCTGATTTTTCAGCAGTCATTACTCCAGCCTTAAGTGTCACATGGTCCTGATCCTGTGTTATCCTTTATTATTAAAAATATGAATTTCTTTAGAATAAATCAATCTTACAGACCCCAAACTTTTGAATGGTAGTGTATGCAAGTAGATAATTTTGCAATGCTATAATGGAGAGAGGTGAGTTTTAAACCCTTTTCTGTATGCTGTTTCCTCAGTCTACGGTTATGGTGCTCAGAAACATGGTTGGACCTGAAGACATAGATGATGATCTGGAAGGAGAAGTAACAGAGGAATGTGGGAAGTTCGGAGCCGTTAATAGAGTGATCATTTACCAGGAGAAGCAGGGTGAGGAGGAGGATGCCGAAGTCATTGTAAAGATCTTCGTAGAGTTTTCAGCAGCATCAGAAATGAACAAGGCCATTCAGGCGCTCAACAACCGCTGGTTCGGAGGTCGCAAGGTGATCGCTGAAGTGTACGATCAGGAACGGTTTGACAACAGTGACCTTTCTGCATAGACTGTCAAATACATCCTGCCCTACATAACCTTTTCTTCTCTCTCCATCTCTCCCTTGTCCTCTCTCACTTACACAGAAGCAGCCGCCAGCCACTCTTCCCAGTGGTACTGGCTTCTCTTTATAACTTGTAATTATTTTTTATCGATGTTGATATTAATATTATTAATGATCCCATCTTGGGACAGGCGAGGAAATGCTCATGAATATTTTTTTTATTGTTGCTGTACTTTAATGTGAATGACTGGATGCCCCCCTTCCCTTTTTTGGTCCATTGGTTTACTCCCCGTTCCACCAATCAGATGTTGTTCAAATTCAGTTTTTGTTGTTTTTGCCCCCCTCTTATTGTTTAAAATATTGTCAATAGCTTGTCATGATGCTCTTGGTTTCAAATGCCAGAACAATAAATTCTTCAAATATGACACTTGGGTCTTTTCTCTTTATGATATTTTAAGTACATCAAAAAGTCTTTTTAGTGGTTGTTGTTTTTGAACTTTGTCCTCTGTTTAAAAGAATTGCAGGTGCTGGAATTATGGTTAAAGTGAAAAACAAGGTGGAGTGGATCTAAATGCAGCCATGAGCCAAAGTTTATATTTGCGTACTGTTGGTTTATCTTCAGATCAAACATGGATTGTTTTATCAGGAGTTGTGTAAACTTTCCATTTGAACTTGAAAGCAGAAAAACAAATGGTGAACATGAGCATTAAGTAGCATAAATCTGAGGTCTAAATGTTTCTTTACCTTTTTGTGAATATAAGCCTTTAAAAGGTTTGGAATCAAAGCAGAAAGTCTTGCATGAGGGATTTTCATGTTTCATTTTAAAACATTCTCCACCACGTGGCTTAGATTTTTATAACTCAGTAACCAAGCGTAGAGGAACTTGATAAATGTGCACAGTTGCATCTTTTCTGAACATTGTGGCTTTGAGATTTTCATTTGGGGAAATGCTTGTCCCAAAGAGTCTTTGCAATGCTAGTTTTGTTAGTTGTATTGATATGCATTTAGTTTATAATGGTTCACCACCTTACAAGTTGGATATGAGTCATGCTAATCTAAAGACATTTAGATGGATGAATCAGAATATTCTAAGAAAATAAAAGGGTTTTTGTTGAGCTTCAAGATTTAATTACCAAAGTACGTTTGAAATGTATTTGCTGATAGCGTGTCTTGATTTATTATTAAGAATTTCCTGACTTGGTCTTAAAAGGGTCTTTTAAAAAGGGATCTTAAATTTATCTTCATAAGTCTTATTTCATCATCTTGGGGAGGGCCTCTGGTTACAAAGTATACCAATCACAGCAGTTGTGGTCTGTGTAGATGCGACACCAGTGACTGCTTCTGACTAAAATCAGGCTAACAGCGCAGAACATCAGTTACTGTGCAAGATGAGAGGTTTACTGTTACTGCTTAATGCTCTGTTACTGCTGGAGTTAACAGACGGAAACAAAGAATATCATCAACTAAGCCAAAATGATGCGCGCATTGTTGACAGGGCAATACAACAAGCCAATGAGAAATTTGGAGCCAAACACCTTGATTTTGCCTCCATTGTAAATGCTGTAAGTGATTTATTTTCAATTTGATCATTATACTGTAAATTCCTAATTTTACTGTAAGTTGTATTTTGATTTTGTTTTCAGTGCTTATTCATCTGCCTTAAAGTGCTTGATATAAATAGTTAAATATCTACATGTATGGTTGTCATCTTTATGCTTTACACGTCTCTTTCCCCTACTGTACATGAAAGAATTATGAGAAGAGCATGCTTCATGTGATATTAAAATCCACCTCATGTAATAAGATGACAAAGAGTACCCATCAGAAAGACTGTATAATCCAAGATGATGCAAAAGTAAGTAGCTCACTCTCACAGAAGGATCTTGATAGTCTATGCCTTATAGGAGTCATTGAATACACTTTAAAAATAACTTCATTTCACACTGCTCTATTGTATTTTTCTCAGCCTCAAGTTTCGTGTGTTAGCTGTCGTGAAGAAATGTCCTGTTCACTTCTTAAAGAAAAAGAGAAGGTACATCACACATTAGTCACAAATTGTGGACAAAGACCTTCATTCACCATCATGATCCAACCTTTTTGTTGTATAAGATATTTATGCACTAAAATGTTTTAACTGTTCTCATTGCAGATTAAAACAACTGTATACAACTGTTTAAATGGGAGAACTCATCAAACTGGGGGAGCACATCCAATGTTATTAAAAACAGAAAAAGAGCAACAAACTGGATGTCTGGGATGTATCTGAGAAATAAAAACGATCGAAAATCTTTGCAAATGATGGCCATATGAAAAAAAAAAACTAATAATGAAATGTAACCTATAAAAATGACCTCTCAGAACAAGTTTCTTTATCTAAAATTGTATTATGAAGATTAATGTGCATTTTTCCTCAATTGTCAGTTTTTTCAATGTCATGATGTAATTTTGAGTGAAATATGGAAAGTACAGTAAGCTAGTCTACATTGGGACGTCCTGTGTTGAATAACATAAATCAAATAGAGGACCTTGTAAAATTGTCCCCAATTTCCATTAATGAAATGTTACAAATCTTGATCTTTAGATGATTTATTTGCACTGAATTTGAGATGCCCAGTTTAATCTTCAAAAGATCTGTAAACAAATGTCCTGCAGTGTGACACTGCTATTTAGTTATTTTGTCTGTTTTCATTTGTGTTTTAAATCAATACAAATTATATTAAGGGACTTGAAGGTCGAATGCTAACTGTCAGCTTTGTTAAGTAATTTTTTTTTAATTAAATTAATCATAACTAACATTCATTTTTCTTTCAGGATTAACATATGCTTTTGAAAACTAAACATCCCCAACACTTATGTCAAAGTGTGTCTGAATATGTAACAAAAGGGGAAACAAAACTTGACAGCTGTCTAAATATACTGTATAACCTCATGACTTGAGTAACAAGCTGAAGTAATCAAATAATCCAGATTTGCTTTTACCTAAACGAAGGGTTTGCTGAATTATACATATAAAGAACTTAATCATATTGTAGAAAAAATGGTTTAATGAATCAGGTCACTTTTGCCATGCTCCTATTCTATAAAAACTGTTGAACACTTTTTGGTGGGGGGATTCTTCCTGAAAATGATCTGAGATCTCCTGGCCATGATTAAAGCATATTCGAAGGCATTATCTGGAGTCTGTCTGATTACTGTTGCGCAGCGGGCTGAACACTAGAGAACCAGGCCTTATTCCCAAATGATAATGTTCATAAGGGACGGAGACGGCTACAGTGTAGCATAAATTTGTCAAATTAAGTCAGGTGTATGTACTGTATGTTAATTTCTACTAGGTTTAAAGCTATAAAATGGCGTCTCAGTGTCACATCTGAATAACAATGTGTAATACTTGTGTACAGGATCACTCCATTTAAAGCTACTTTTTAAACATATTTCAAAATATTACACTGCATTCATTATTTTTTCATATATTAACTGAGAATTTACAGGGATTTACCCCTTTTACAAAAATGTATTTATCACACTGCATGACATTGACAATGCAAGAAGGTCATTAAAAGTAAAAGACAACAACAGAATTGCTTATGGCGTACCTTTTACAACCATAACTATTCCACATTTATTTCTATAGGGCCTAATTAGTCGCTGTATTTAGAGTTTTTCTTTATCGCTTTGACTCAATTCTCAAAACAAAAAGGTCTCGAACGATTAGTTTCTTGTTCACATCAGATTTGGATTTCTTACTGATTTTTAAGCAAATTGCGTGTGTTTTGGCACCTGTGTGCAAAAGAGATACAATTGTCCGCTATTCGCACAACATCTAAATGCACGATCAAAACTTGAGTTGATTCCCAGTGAAACTGTCAAACTCTTCACAACTTCTAAACATTCTTTCACCGTTTGAGTCTTCAATATGCAAAATGAACCATTAAATTATCAAAAATCTGTCAGACATGCATGTGTATTCCGTATAGCCTACCTATATGACACACTTAGAAAAGTGCATTTTATTTTTTATTTTGTGCCACCACTCTTGGTGGAATTACACTACTCGTGTAACTGTGTTTAAATAGGGAAAACGTGGAGCTGTTTGGTCGCCTTAGCCTTCCTGATATTGTTCGAGGCTCAGACTCGCCGTCCCAGTTTAAAACTAGATTAAAGACGCTTGGATCCTAATGAATAATAACATAGTTTAAAATGACAAAAAATGGTAACCCTTTAAAAGATAACAAATATTACCAGTGAATAATGTCTTATCTGACAAAAGGTTCATAGATAGATAGATAGATAGTTTTGTTTCCCCTTTTGTTTTACACAGTCTTGGAAAAAATGCTAAGCAGAGTCTATTTTGCAGAGTCTATTTTGACCCTCTTCTCCAATTTGGCAAGCATGTAAATGCAGTTGTAAAGAATTGCTTCTTTCAACTCAGATCTGTAGCAAAAGTGAAACACTTTCTATCAAGTAAAGACCTCGAAATTGTGATTTATGCACTAATTTCGTCCTCAATCTACACTGTCTCTGGTACAGATGGTTCAAAATTCAGCACCAGATTTCTAACAGGAACTAAGAAAAGCGATATCTTCCCCTGTCTGGTCTCATTGGTTCCCTGTCCAATTTAAGTCGGCTAAAAGGATTCCTCTTTTTGCATTCAAGGCACTGCTGAATTCGTTCCCGGATTACATTTGTGATCTTATTAGAGTGACCATACCTAGAGGCCTAGAGGCCATACACAGCCCCGCATTACATACAAGCCATACACAGTTCCACAGAGAGAACTGTTCCTCGTTCGTAAATCAAAAGGTGATCAAAAGGTTCTCTGTAGTCTCCCAAAGCTTCGGAACAGTCTACCTTTGAACATCAGGGCCTCTCCATGACTGGATGCTTTTAAATCCAGATTTATTTTTACTCTCTAGTGCTCAAATGAAGGTGTGTATGTATTTTGAATAGCTGGTGTACGTTATGCGTGTGTGTATTGAATATATACACTGATTTTTATCTCAATTTCTATCTTTTTTTTCCTCTTAAATTCTGATTTATTTTTATTTTAAAGCACATTGTATCAACTACAAGAGTTGTGTTAAAAACATGTGATCTATAAAAAAGAAACTTGACTTAATAACACTTTTTCAGACACACTAACTTTGGCCCAAGTGCTGGGGGACATTAGTTTTTTAAAAGCACATGTTGATTCCTAAAGAAAAATGAATGTGATTAATTAAAAAGTCCTTAATGATAGATAGATAGATAGATAGATAGATAGATAGATAGATAGATAGATAGATAGAAAGATAGATAGATAGATAGATAGATAGATAGATAGATAGATAGATAGATAGATAGATAGATAGATAGATAGATAGAAAACAAATTAAGATATAACTTTAGATAAAAAACTAATATTATGGAAGAAAATACTGTCCGTCTGGCAAACACGTGTTTCCGGGCTGCCACTGTTGACTTCCGGGAACATGGCTAACACCGGGGCGGCGGACGACTACTGGCGGAGTGCAAGGGGAGTGTAGCGGAAGACTGGGCACCCCGAGGTTACAAGGCCCTGACAGCACGGAGATATGAGATTATAAGTCTTTATCTAGATCATACATGAAATACGTTAGTTCCGATCAGGCAGCGTTACCTTCACCTACACTGATAATCACTGACTTTAGCTGTTGGGAAAGGAGTCGTGCATGTTGATCAAGCCATGTCCTACCGGATCACACCAGATCCACGCACTGTATTTTTAGCCATATTTTAGTATAACTCTCAGCGTTTCGCGACACGGAGCAAAACAAACGCAGCTTCAACACGCAGATACTGTGAAGTCATCGGTGTAGCAGCTCGTTAGCGGCGCTCAGCTCTGCTCTTCTTCCGGGGCCTCAGCAGATGCTCCATAAATCCAGCTTTTACAACATGTCAGTCCCCTTAAAACGTTTATTAAAGATCAATTTTTGAATCCACATCGCTGTGCAACACAGCGAACCGTCGAATCGGTAATCATTTTGCCAATGCCACCGACTCCTGCGGGCAAATTCATCCTCCTGAACCTGCACATCCATCCACGCGCCATCCTGTGAGATAAACATGTAAGTTAAGCCTGCTTTCAACTATCACGCGAGGTCGTACTCGTATGGTAGCAATTGTAATGTTTAATCTGTTTATAGTGGTGTATTTTTCAAGACAAATCAAGCTTTTCTGACACGAAATTATTAACAAGCCGCAAGCGACAAAGGGTATGGTAAAAGTTTAGGTCAAACATCTGGTCATTAACTTTTTTACTCATCGTCATGTTGTTCCATCCAAACCAGAATGACTTTCTATTTTATGTGGCACAGAAGATAACGAATGAGAATGTGAGCTGTCAACCTCCAAAAAAACGAAGTAGTTCACATAACTTTTTATTGTTATTGTCTGTAACCATCATTCTATTCTTCAGTGTCAAATTATCCTTTAGAAATCATTCTAATATGGTGCTCAAGAGACATTTCTTCTTATTATTAATATTGAAAACACTCATGTTGCTGCTCAAATCTTTTGTGTGTGAACCATGGTACATTATTTCGAATTTAAAAAAGCATAATTAAACTATATGTCTGTTTTCCAATTGCTGTCTCTTTAAACGGGACGAATGCTGTGGAAATGACATATCATAGTGACTAGTCCAACCATTGACAGCAGATGCATTTATTGTCAATCTCTGTGCAGTTGAACTTATAATGAAATATTCAATATCGAATATTTCCATTAGTGCCTGTTTGATATCAATTTTTCATTGCGTTAGTATATTTGGTCCCGCTGATCCTGAATATGTTATTACACAACTGTTAAAACTGTTAATGTTTGAGGTTGGTAAGGCTTTTTTATATGATGTTGAAAGTCTCTTACGCTCACCAAGGCTGTATATTGTTACTATTTAAAATAACCATTTTCTATATTCATCTATTTTGTACTCTTATGATTCTTCAGAAATCTTTTTAATATGCTGATTTGGTGCTCAGGTAACTTTTCTTATTATTATTATTAATCTAAAGACTAATCTAAATGTATTAATCTTAAATTAACAAAATATCTATATAATCTTTAATACCTTTGATTTATTTAATGCATCCTTGCTTTTTTTAAATAACCTTACTGACCCCAAGCTTTGATTTACATCCAAGTCTAGATGCACATTTTATCTGTTTTTAGAGTTTTGTATCTGGATCAACCTCATAATCATAATAATTGTATTGTTGTGTTATGAAAATTTATAAACGTATACCTTAATTAATAAATGAGGTCTGATTCAGATGTGAGGATGGGATATCCTCTCCTCCTCTCAGCCCCTGAAGGAAAGGGCACATCAGTCTGACAACAATTCTCAAGTTACCATCTATTTCTGGAGCTGCTCCTGCCTGCTTCATTGGTGTGGAGATGAGTTTCCATAAGTGCTGAACCATAATTTTGCATTTTACTGTGGTTCAGCACTAAAATCTGTTGTATACAGATTGAAAAAATCATTTGGACTATGAAGTGTACTAAATAAAGGATATGCTTTCTATTTGCAGGAGTGTTCTCTTGAACTTCACATTTGGACCACCCTATATACCATGCTGGGGCTGCCTGTTCGCTTTGGACTTTTAACCTGCAGGAGATTCTCCTCGCCCCACCTGCCTTCTCGCCTACTGAGTCTAGGTGCCCTTACTAGTATGTACACCACACGCATGTACAGCGGTGGTGGGGGCAAGCCAGGTCGCCGCATCAGCCTGATGGGAGGAGGGCCGCCCATGCTAGAGAACCACCATCACCCACTCCCCCCCCATCATCCTCATGTCCATCATCCTCAGAGCTACCCACCTGTTTATCAAGCCCGTCTAGATGCCCACCGGCCACATTACCAGACCCACCAGCACTACCACACGCACCCTCAAGTCGCCCACCTCCCCCCTCCGCACTATCAGCCTCATGCACATTTGCATCACGGCAAGAAGAAGACCTGGAACTTCATCCATGAGAAGATGAGCTACGACACCTTTTTTACCATGAAACGACTGATCGATCGCTCGCGCACCGTGGATGAAGTCCTCCGCTGGGTCACGCAGAATCCAGGCAAGATCTCGCACAATCATTACCCCATTGCCCTACAGAAGATCGGCCAGCTCCTGGTACTGCAGCAGGCTGGAGGTCAGGCAG